TTTACTTTTCTATTTGTAATAAACGTAATAATAATAAAATAAGAATAAGTAATATACTTATTATATATAGTAAAATTATCTAACTTATAATTATAGCTTAAATTACTTATACTAGTAGAGCTATAGCTAACTAGTAGAGTAGTATAGTAGCTCTCTAAGAGTTAGACGCCTATAAATATAACGTTATAGGTTATATTTATTATATTAAGTATGCCTTCTATAGATAAAGTAGGTTAGTAAAGTACTAAACGTATAGAATAAGAGAACTTTAAGCTAAAAACCTAACGTACTAATTATACCTATACTACTTAAGAAACCTAATCTATAAATCTCTTTTATCTCTATCTTATTTAAGTATAGTAGTAAGTATATAAATAAAGCGCGTCTGCTAGTGCTATTAGTTATTTACTCTAGCGCGTTATTTAGAAGTATTAATTTACTTTCTAGGTAGTTAAGGTATTTTTGCAGAAGCACTCTATTATAACTACTTTTATTATTACTTTATCTAATATTATTAACGCTATAAAAGAACTATACGTAGGTTTAATTAACGCTGCTAGTAGAAGCGCTAAGGTATACTATTTGCTAGGCATTAAATATTCTACTCTACCTATCTAGATTATAGAACTTGCTAAATATAATAGAGATATATAGGTTAGAGATATTTACTATACTGCTGCTATTTATAGAGTATTTATAGTAGTTACCTAAATAGTTTAGATTAGAGTAGCTATTAGAGCTAGAGTAGATTTTGCTACTATTTTAGGTAAGAGATAAAGTAGTTAGAAGAGATACTGTAATAAGAGCGCTGCTAAGGCAGGTTAATTATAGTACTATAGTTAGAATATAGTTATTAAAGTTATTTAGTACTAGAAGTAGTAATAATTATATAAAAGAATAAGAGCTTTAAGTTGTCTTTATATATTATAAGGCTAACTATAGTGTTATACTAATAGCTCTATATTACTCTACTAAATTAACGTTATATTATAGTTAGTTTTATTTATTTTGCTATAGTGTAATAGAACACCTAATTATGTATTGTTATTTATAGTTACAGCTATGCAATACTAACGCTAACTCTATAATTAACGTAAAAAGGTACTATAGAAATTAGCCGCTAAGTCTATAGTTAACACGTAATGTATATATAGTTAGACGTTTTATAGGCTTATATAAATTAGAGCTAGAATACTATAATTAGAGTAAGTTGTGTAGCTTTAAGGTATACTAAGCTAGATATTATAGCTAGGCTTTACCTATAAGGTACGCCTTAACTATTAATACTAATTAATTACTATTTCTATAAACTTAGGTCTAGATACGTATCTAGAAATTGCGTTAATTCTATAAGTAATAATTTAATAGCTAGATCTCTTGCAGAAATTATTATGCTTTCTATTAATAATGTAATAGTACCTAGCGCTTACGTAATGTTGCAGTTTAGGTATATAGAAGAAAAACTAAGTATAGCTTTTACTACCTTGTTTTAGTTAGATTTAGAATTAAAAGAAGTAAGTAATTAAACAAAGTAAAGCAGATTTATATAAGCGCATAATTAATAGAAAAGTAATACTACTAAACTTAAATATTAAAGTTAATAGAATACATAGAAGAAGTAAAGTGTAAGGTTAGTAGTAGAGAAGGCTTAATCTTAAAAAGTATAAAGGCGCTAAGACTGCCTTAGCTCTACGCGACTAGCTACCTCTATTACTAGAACTTTATTCTTATTCTACCTTTAATAAGCTTATTAACGCGTATAATAACTTACAATTTCTAATATATTAAGATTTGTAATTAAATATTCTCTTTAAGTTACTAGTACGCTCTTAGAACGCTTCTATACTCTACTAAGGCTAGTTAAAATAGCATATTACGTATAATTTATATAGCTATAGCATAGGTTAGCGTAGTCTATTGCACTAATATCTATAAAAATACTATAAACTAACTTATTTATCTTCTTAATTAAGCCGCTAAGTAAAGCGCATATATTATACTATTCTTAGAATGTACTTTTACTACCTTCTTCTCTTATTATCTTATTACTAACAAAGCAGAACTTAAGTTATTTTTTAAGTATAGTAATATAACTATAGTAGAAAATATAAGATATATCTTTAAATAAGCTAAGTAGTTAGAGGTTAATATTTGTATTAGATTTGTAGAGGTAATAGATAATAGTAACTACTATAACTTCTACGTCTATTATTACGCTAAGTCTAGATCTATTTTATTAACGTATTAAAAAGTGCATTTACCTAGAGATATTAACTCTTTCTCTAAGCCTAATACTGTTAACTAGCTTAAGAAGTAATACTTTAAGCTAGGTAATTTAGAGTTTAACGCCTTCTAAGTACCTAGCCTAGTAGAGATAATACCTAAATATAGCGAGCCTATCTTTAGTATAATAATATATAATAATTAACGTTAGGTAGAAGCTTAAAGGTACCTAGGTCTCTAAGGCGTTAAAGTTATTTTTATAAGCTTTAATACGCTAGGTTTTACTTTATAGATATAGAGTGTATCTACTAATATAAGTCTAACTAAAGTACATGTAGAGGCTATCTTCTATTATAAGCTAGTTATATAGGCCTACTTATATACTAATGCATGCTTCTCTATTAGCGCAGCAAGATATAGATTAGATAATAGAAAGTATAATCTAGTAGAAAGTTTAACTATTATTAGACCTAATAGAAAGATTATAGTTAAGAGCAAGATAGAAGAGGATAAAATTATTATCGCTAATTGCAACCTTAATTAATATCTACTAGGTAAGACGTAGACGTTTAACTTTATAAGATATTAGTAGATAGAGTATTATAGTATTCTAACTTTGTAAATAGAAGTTATTAAACTACTATAACTAGCATAATCTAAATAAGCGTATTATAGAACTAAGGCTATAGCAATTAATAATAACTATAAGATACTAGCCTCTGTTATAGATGCTACATTCTTAAAGTATATTTGTATTCTTCTCTACAACTCTAATACTACTAAATTAATAATAAACGCCTGTCTAGAAATACTAAAACTAATACTTCTACCTAATATTACTATTTACAGCTTTATAGCCTCTAAACTATTACTATTAGCTATTAAATTAAACTTTAATAATATTATATTTATAGCTACTACTACCTAAGCTATTATTCTTATTATATATTAGTACAACGCCTTTCTTATAGCTTACTACAGTAATTACGTACTTATAAAGGTTCTTTATAAATAACTCTTATAGCTAGTAGTTAGTATTATAGAGACCTCGCTGTTTACTATATAAACGCTAGATAGATAGTTTAGTATTATTATAATAATGCAATAATTATAGTATACGCTAGAGAACTCTATAAAATACTATAGTCTAGAGTTATTCTGCGCTAGTGTAAGAAGTTATAATTTTAGAGTTTTAGAGTTAGAATTAAAGTCTAAAGAAAAAGTACTTAGTACTATATATAGCGTAGGCAAGAGGTTAGTTATAGATAGTACTAATATATTAACGCTTAGGTGTATAAGTATAATAAATATAAAAGCTACTATTAAAGAGGTAGTTAGAGGTTATATATAAGTAATTAATAGTATACTAGCTAGTATATATTATCTAGTTAGTCTTATTAAACTTAGAATACAAATAGCTAAGATAAGTATATACGCAAGCGTAAAGATAGACAAAGCAAAGAGGCTAATATTAGTATTAAATGCGTTTAATATATAAACGCTTATATAACATCTTCTCTAGAGTTAGTATAGTATAAGCACTACGTATATATACTTGCTTAAGTCTAGCGCAACTTTATAGTTATGCTAACATTATCTCTTACGTATTTAACTATTATCTAATATTAACATAGCTAGTAAACAACCTTCTAAACAGCCTAAGGTTTAGCCTATAGTATTAGAATCTAATAATATAGAACGCTTTGCTAAATACGTTAATAAGTAAAAGAGAAGGCATAACTTATAGAGTTAGTACGTAGACGAGTAGTTACGCAAGAAGAGTAATAGGGAGAAACTTGTTTATACACTAGATCCTTCTACGTCTACTATCTCGAAGAGAACGTAGACTAATAATACGCTATATGTTAAAGAGCTAGATACTAATAGCGCCACGGGGGTTAATAACAAGGACGTAGAAGGAGAGAGCGTGAAGCTGGTAAACGACGGTAGAGATAACGATGGGTTCGTTAAGACGCTGTATACTAGTAGTGCGTCTAGAGAGCAAGATAATATAGATCTGTATAAGCCGTAATGCGATAACGATAAGATTGTTGACCTTCGACAGTCGATAGCTGATTGCAAGGCGTTTACACTGTCTATTATAGTCTACATAGCCGTTTGTTCTTGCCTATTACACTAGTGACGCTTAAGTTTCGAACGACTACTGCTATTCACCCTTTTATATATAAATCGCTTCTCTCCACTCTGGTATAACACATCTGACTGTCTTAATTACGCACAGTTCTACTCTCCTCACCAATCACTTATCAGACAAAACAATTCTGAACATCTGCCGCAATAACTAACACGTCCCCTAAGAGGCTATGGAAGAAAGAAGAGCCTCGTTCCGACCCTAGGAGACAAGACTCTTAAGGAGAATTCGACCCGAATACTAAACACCCGAAAGATAAGATAGGTAGAGTTATGATAGAGAGTCAAAATCCGAAAGGTATAGACACGAAGACTTCTGGTGAAGAAGAGGAGGAGAAACCTATGGACGAAGGGAATAACGAAGACGTAGAAGCAGAGGAAGGTAGAAGTCAAGGTAGTGATGAGCAACTCGGTAGCGTGATGGACAGGGTTCGGGAATTGGAGAGTAGGCGGTAATGCGGTGACGCAACCTCTTCCACATTCACCGTAGCCTTGACTTAAGATTTAATACTCCCGCGTTTCATAGAGCAACATGTAGATGATGCTTGACAATCTCCGCATAATTGAATCCTGATTTTGAGACTATTGAGAGATGCGCATAAGATCAAGCCATACATGCCACTTCTTCAACGGAAGTAAGTCGGTGCCGTAGCCTTAGCAGCCATCCAAGCCTCATCCAACGCCTTCACCACATCATCAGGCAGCGGGCCCTTCTCCAAATCCGCAAGATTACCTTCCAACTGCTTCAAGCTGCTCACACCAATGATTACACCATCATTTCCGCCCTTGACTCGTGTCTTCAGTTCAGAGTGGTGGACACACCAGCGCAGCGCTATCTCGAGCAGCGTCAGGTCGTGCTTCTGCGCAGCGTCTTCAGCAATCTTCAGAGCCTGGAACGTGGCGTCTTTGAAGTAGCGGTCGCGGTACATGCTGCCGACGCGGTCTGCTTTGGTGCCGAAACGGCCTTCGTCGGGCTTGATGTCTTTGGATTTGATCTTGCCGGAGAAGAGACCGCCGGCTAGGGGGTTGTAGATGACGATGTCGATGCCGTATTTGCGGCATGCTGGGATGAGCTCGGGTTCGATGGCGCGAGCTTGCACGGTTAGACGATGCCCTGCGCATGAGAAGATGAATACTTACTAATTGCGTTGTACATGGCCTGGTAGATGGTCGGCTTCACCCAGCCTCGCTCCTTGCAGATATTGTACACCTCCGCAACTTCCCACGCAGCGAAATTGGAAAGACCCAAATTGACAAACTTGCCCTGCTTGTGCAGCTCATTCACAGCACCGAGTGTCTCCTCGAATGGCACGGAATGGTCCGGCGCGTGCAGGTAGAAGATGTCGACACAGTCTGCTCCCAGCTCTTTGAGACTAGTCTCGAAATGCTCCTTCAGCCTATCAGGCTTGTGAACGCCAGCCTCATAAGGATACACCTTGGTGGCGAGAGTAAAGCCGCGGTCCTTCCACCCCGCCTGGCGCGTCCATGCCTCTTGCTTGCCACCAACGTACATGCGCGCCGTGTCGATCTCATCGTAGCCCTGGGATTGGAAGTAGTCGAGATGCTTGGTGAATTCATCAAACTCTGTGATGCGCGCGCCGCTGGTCTCGTCGGGACCTAGGATGCATTAGTCATAGTAGTGGGGTGTTGATCTGCAAAGCTTACCGAATGTCATCAATCCGAGGATGACTCGGTCTTTGGGGTTCTGCGCAATGAGAGGCATCTTGGTGTTTTGTCTGAGTTGTGCAGTAGTACGAAGTGAGGATTATTGATGGAGAACTTCACGCCTGCCGTCGTTATCGCGAGATGACGACAGCGGGGTGCCCCACCCGGAGATAAAGACGCGGAGATATGCGGAAGAGCCGAACGAACCTTCCTCACTGATGGATGTCGATACACCAATGCTGCAAGTATCCCACACACTATTGCTTCGACCTGTACCTTAATCAAGTCCAAAGAGACGCTCCCAACTCATTGGGAGCCTTGCACGGTTCCCTAATTCAACATTCTCGTCGCTCTTGAGCCTTCCGGATTTGATATACGCCCACCCCTTAGCGAAGATGGTCTCCTCGGAAGACATCCAATGCCAGACCAGAAGTACTGCCGCAGTGGTTGGTAGGGAGGCAGCCCAATAGATGCCAAAGCTTGGATGTATGACCTTTGGTCCGTCCCACTTGAGTAAAGGCATAGCGAAAAGAGTAGCGAAGAAGGTAGGAGGCAGGAAGATCATGGTCATGATCGCGATAGTCTTCATCGAGTAACTATCTTTTCGTGCTGCTAGTGCAATCTCCTTGCTAACCTTCGCATCTTCGCGTGTGAGTAGATTGAAGATCTGAAGTTCATGGTCAGCTGGTGGTATGACGTCCTGGATCTTTTGTGTCAACGTACTACAGCCTGTTGTGTGCGGCCTCGCTCTTGGAGGTAGCCCGCCTGCAGTTCGCCCGATTTCGTCTGGCCTCCCAACATTGATGCAGCATCGACAATGTCATCGAAGGGGCTTGGGTCACTGGTGGTGTTCGAGGATTGCGCAAGCGCCGATTGCCGAGATGACAATGGCTGGGCTGATGCAAGGTCGTCGAGGACTGCTCTCACAATGCAAGCGTGCCGGGAGATATTTGCGAGATCTGTAAGTACGAACCCTAGCCGCTTAGAGTCCTTCATTAGCTCATCCGTACTTGGAGGAGAGTCGTGCTGCACACCATGCCATGCGCCATGGCCAGTGGTAATCTCTATGGATCGAATGCGGGCCAAGTTTTCGAAAGCAGTGCCTTCGATCCAACGGACCATCTGTATGGCACACACGAGAGGACAGAACCGCGCGTCGCTCACAAGATCCTTGTGGTAGATGATGGTGTCTATCACACTCTTAAAGATCCGCTGAGGATATTGGGAACGTTCTCGGGGAATGAGCACGGCTTTGGTTGTCATCTCATGAGAGTCGTAAGTCCATAGCATCGTATACGACACGGTATGTAGGTAGCAAGTATACTGCGTGCCACCTTCCTTCATACGAGAGAAGAACCCGTACGTCGAAGACAGTATCATGCTAAGCCAGTACGGATCATACCCGAAGTCGTCAAAGATGTCCAGGAAAGTTCGCTGGTCGATATAAAGGACTCCGTCAAAATCACGCTCAAAGCTTATCAGCCGCATTGATGCTGTTGCTGTCGCGTCGCCGTTCTTGGGGATAGTGGTATTGATCTGGTCACAGATCTCAGAAGTCTGGGACCAATGAATATCTGTTAGTTTGACAGTTGTCTCGACTTTCGTATATTGCGCCACGGTTAACAGCGATATTTTAGCATCGTGTAATTCGGCACCATACTTGAACTTCTGTTCTGACAGAAATCGCGCCCGCGCTTGCGTTCGTAAGCTGTTCATTGATGTGGATGTTCGCTGTTAGCTGAAGAGGCAGATTCAATGCAGCAAGCTGAATTGTTCAAGAATAAGAAGGTTGAGGAGCGCGCAGGCGGCGTGGCAGGGCTATTGAGTCTCGACAACATTGGGGCTGAGCCATTGCACTGCCTGGGGGTTCAGCTTCTGTCTCGACCATCCATTCTTTCCGCCTGCATATAATATTTCTGACCGTCCGACTTCTTTGCGCTCGTCAGTGCACCGTAGCTTATGAAGCTTCCGCAAGATGCGCGCGCGGCACGAGTGAGGATTCGCGTGATTGCACAGCGTGGGTGGATGCCTTCGGCAGGCCATCGGAATGTTTCCGACATCGCTCTTCATGTCGCATTCCATCCGCGATGTTCTCAGACCATCTATCCAGTCTCTCTCATGTATGACGCAACAAATCATTGACGCAAGTTCATGCCAAGTCGCCATGCAACAGCCCGACACCGAACTGACAGGACTCGTGCAAGTGCGATCGGAACGAGTCGAGCGCACTTGATCTCGGGTTCTACCGCATCCCCACCTCTTGAGGGTCGATCAGCTCCGGCTCAGGCCCAGCTCTTCATTGGATGAGTCATCGTATAGCATGCGACATGTTCTAACCCAGGCTGCTCTCAATACTCCGGCGCCGCCGATGTCGTTCTAATAGTGTCGGTCACGGCAATTGCAATATAGATTGCTCTGCCTTGCTTCCGAATAGTTCCTCGATTCATTGGAAACGCCACGACTTGGTTGGGAGAAGGCGTCTGCGTACGACTATTGGCCAGTTATCTCGGACCTACCAAGGCTCCGCGACGCGCGCGAACTGCTTGCAGCAAGGCGTCGAGGCGGAGCGTGTGTCTCGCGAACGCCGTCTGTGCTAAGGACGTGCAAAAGCAGGAACAGCACACTCCCGCGGCCGTGCAACCCTTGAAGGCGATGATGAGGAATGGCTGAAACCTTGCGAAGCATCGCAGCCAGCATTCACAGCTCGCTTGGGGCGGTGGGGCGCTCTCGCACCAATGACGTCGCTGATGGGCCGATAAGGATAAGGAACCCAACATGTTGCAGCGCTCGGCTGGTCAGGCGGTCATCATCATGCAGCTAACCTGCACCATCATGCACCATGCTGCAGCTAGCAATGCCCATCACCCTCGCAGCATGGCCGAACTCTGCACCCAGGATCGTCCCGCAACCGTCCCGCCGCTCTTCTGTACAGCACAGGTGCCACGTAGCAGCGACGCAGGTACGCACAGAAGCCGCACACAAAGAAGCATAAACGTCGCGGGCAGATCGCTGCAGCTTATAAGACTGACAGCCGGCCCTGCGCTGGTGTTCCAGTGTTCTACACTCCATTTCACTGCAGACCGACATCTGCAGTGCGCCAGACAATGAGGCGATCAGCTGGAGCCCGAGGTGTCATGTGGCCCAGTAAGCCACTGTGTGCAAACTTACGAATCAGTCACTTTCTCGCACACCATCAAGTGGGCTGTGCCCTGATTGGAGCGCAAACCCTCGATACAAGGTACTTTGACTGAATCCTTTCTTGATTTAGCTTATGGCCATGCGTCTATTGGAATTTGGCCTCCACGCCGCGACTGCGGTGCACTTGCTCCCTTGCCCGGCCGGAACACTCTTTGTCTTCACATGATATCATAATTCTCAATCCGCTTCTCTCAAGTCTCCTTCCCTTGAAACGCTATATTGTTCCTGTCTATTGGCTTGTGTCGCGCGTCTTAAGTATCACCCGCGTCCCCCATCGTCGAATTTAGCTTTCCGAACTTCGGCATCTGCATGCATGCAGTCATCACCTCTTCAGAACCTGGATACTGGACTTGAACCTTAGGCGCATAGCGATCCGAGACTTGCATCTTGATCGCCATGTGTTGGTCCTTTAACTTTGGCTTTCCAGGCAACAAAAAGCGTAAGGACTCGTCGTCGTCGGACGAGAAGAAGAGGCGGGACCGACCGGCGGATAACGCGCTTCATGGAGAGGGAAGGCCAGTCGCTGCAGAATATTCCGAGAAGCGCAGTTCAAAGGATTCGAGCAGAAGAAGAAGATCTGGTGACTCTACCCCGCGATCTCCGCGGTCACCGCGCCACGAGAGAGAGAGGGAGGAGCACCGACCGCGATCGCAACACCAATACGAAGATGCATACCGAACTCGCGAGAGACGCCGCTCCACACTGGACGTCGAAGTACCGCAAGTCTATCGCCGTGCAGCTGAGCCAAGTAGCGTCAACTCATCACAAGAGGCTCTGCTGAACCCACGTCCCCACCGAAGTCAACACCGTCGGCGGCAGCACCCAAAGCAGACGTCGCAAAGCACTCTGCGCGGGCGCGGAGCAAAGCGCGACCCTGTAAGACATTCAAAATCGAAGAAAAACGTCCGACCAGAACCTTCTCGCGGGTGGTCACTCTTTGCGCCGTCCCCGCCAAAGACACCAAAGCGCGAACACCGCAGTTACCAGACCTTGGATTCTTCGCCCCGTAGCAACCGCTCGTCCCGCCAGCATCGCTTCTCGACTGCATCTCAGACAAGTCCAGAGTCATCACGATCTCAAAACCGCCACCACCGTTCTCGTCAGCACGAGCTTTCAGCTTCTTCTCCGCGCCAAGCGCGCTCTCGTACACCAAACACAACTGCTCGTCGCGTACCTGACAGACGATTTGCTGTACTCGCTGCCACCAATCAGGCGCTTGAGGAAGTTCGACAGGAAGCATTCGCGCAACCCTCCCCACCTCCGAGACGAGAGAGGCTGCGACGGTATGAAGGTGTTACTATCCCGACATCGCAGATACCTTTCAATTGGGATTGCGTAAGCAGTTCGCAGGCTTCAGCTAGACCAAGCAATCGGAGTGGCGAGTCGAGTGGTCGGAGACGGTCGCGTCGTTGATGTGTTCGTTCATGAGCATTGCATCTCGCATCTCGTTCAAGCCACGCGTGGCTGCTGCACCTGGTCATAGCGAACCGGCAGAGCCTAAAGCAGACCAAGAGGTGGCGCATTATCGCATTATCGCACATTGTGTAGCGACTATTTCCTTTTTCTCTCCGCATGTTCTCGATTGTCTTGTAGTAAGATACCCCCCGGCATATCATCGGTAGTTTGGGCGTTCGCATCACATCATTCGGCCCCGGCCCAGCACAGTCCATTTGGCGTTTTTTGGCAACACAATACCCCTGCATCACATATTCCCGCATCGCATGTAGTTCCCATCGTTGTAATAGTAGAATACATATCTTCGCATCTGAGAATCATCTTTGTCTTGCATCGCGCATACCTTTCATCGGTGAAGTAATCGAGGCGCCCTCGTGATACCGTGCACCTGGGCAGAATCTCACCACGTGACGTCTCTACGCTCAATATGTCTGTGGCCACGGCCATGCGCACATTGTATACTTCATACTTTCGCAAAAGTACGTCTACATGTAGACACATCTATACATGAGCTCATCGCCTACCATCGCAACATAGCCAACCGTCGCCGCATCACGCACTCGCACCTCCCACCGGTCACATCTTACCTTCTACGACACTAACCCCATTCCAGCACCCTCCATACACCATACCCCCCGCTCATTGGCCACGGAGCATCTTCCTCAGTAACTCACACCCTAGCCCCCCGGTTCTCCCAATACCTACGCTTCTAGGCAACTTCGGCGTGAAGTTCCATGGGCTCGATCGACAAATGCGCAACCCGGTTTATCAAACATGCGATTTGAGTGAGGGAATGACGGGGCGAAGTGGTAATGGGGTAAGTGACATGTTGGTGTTCGGGGAATTTCACCGAGGTACAGGACGGGTATTTTGTGGGGATAGGGCTTGGCGGTGGGGCGGGCTCGTCAGGGGGAGCTCGAGCACAAGACCTGGACCTGCTGCTGCCTGTCTTGTGGACTTTGCGACGCGATTCACGTTTACACCTTTATTGTGGTTTTGGCTGCGCATTTTTCGACAAGAGTGGATGACTGGATACATGCCAAAACACCCACGATACTCTTTTCATGTCCACCTCGCCGGCCCCTTAGGATCTCCGCACCACCACGATGTCGCGATCAATGCCTACGATGTCGCGACCAATGCCTGGGGTCGGTCCATGAGCCGGCAGCGTTCGTCACCAGGCCTTCAACTCATCGAGGAACTTCTCCAACACATTCGCATTGTGCTGCGCAATGCCGGCGTGCCACTGTGGGTAGTTCTTCCCCTCTACGACCGTGTTACCCTGCCTGTTCGTGAACATTCTGTAATCGCGGTGGGTAAGAGTGTTCGTCGCTGGGTGCAGGAGGTAGAAAGTATTGTCATCCACCGCCTCTCGTTTTGGGTCTCCGACTGCAGTATTCGCCTTCTTCTTCTTGGATTTGAGACCACAGTTGACCATGTGGATGGCGTAGCCCTTGGGAAACTGGGAGACCTCAACGCTGGCTTTGGAAACTTTTAGCGACGTTTGAAGACACGGGATCTGGTACGACTTACATTGGTTGCTGAACCTGAACGGCTTACCGGAGACTTTGGGCTTCTTTTCCAGCATGCGATTCCAGTCTGGTGCGTGGTTGAAGCGGACGGGGAAGAGCTTGCCCTCTTTGATGATGAGGTAGTATGATTTTGTGCCGTGCCGACGGACGCATACCTTTGTGGTCTCGATCTCGTCGTCTTCCTCTTCACTGGACTCTGCTACGTCTTCGTTAGCGATGGAAGAATGAGGCACTCGCGCTGTCTTACCTTCAGCCTCCTCAGCCTCTTCAGCCTCTTCAGCCTCTTCAGCCTCCTCCTCATCCTCCTCGTCCTCCTCCTCGTCCTCCTCTGGAGCCTCTACCATGGGCGTAAAAAGCTGCCAAGGTATCATCCTGTATCGAAGCTTGGGATTGTGGAAGGCATCGTTGTCCTTGGTATAGTTGAGAACCCTCCCGTAAAAGTCGCCCATCGGGTAGACATGCAAACGGCGTTCCTCTTTTCCCGGTGGCTGACTCAAGATCGTTACGCCCACATAGAGTTCCTCTTCGATGACCAGGAGGTTGTGTACGCGTAGGCCATCTGTGCCCGACAAGTCCACTGCCTCATGATCAACTTTACCAGGGAACTCCCATAGAGAGTCCCAGACCACGTACAAGGGGGCTCCTCCGGTGTCTGCAGAGTCCTCTTGCAAAACTGCTATGCGTACCTGGCTCTGTGCGAAATCGGTCCTGAGGTACACTCCTGGAATATCAAGCGCATAGTACATTTCTGCCATCTTGCTTTCGTATTGTCTAAGGTGACTGAGCTGTTGAAGAACTGTGACAGCCTGAGTTGAGGTGTCGTTCTATATGGTTGGCCTTGTGGTGAGTTTGATGATAGCACACATGCGTCAGGTCAGACTGACCGCAGTGATTGATCACTTGGATCATAGCAAGCGGTCTCAAACATCGCGACATCAGCACACGATGCGCTCCATACGTTTTTGTCACCCGTCATCCCGTCTCAAGCTTCATCAGGCATGTACAACACATCATAGCGCAAATTCCGTCCTCGGTTTTGCGCAAACTTGGCATTTTTCATTCGATGCATACAATGAACTACTCACATTCGCTCTGACACAGCAGCTATGGCGAAAATGCGATGGAAGACAAGGGAGCTAGTAACAGCTCCCCCGATACCAACTAAACCATGATCTACTGGCCATCGTCACCCCTGCAAATCAGATGTCGAGTCTCAAACGATGTCACAATTGCCCTGCCATTATGTGTCCTCCTCCTTCTTTGACTCCGTTTCGCCTGCTAATAATGGTGAGTCTCAATACACGATGATGACCAATGAGAATCGACTTACCTGCATCGTCCTCATCCTCCAATCCAAGAAATCTCCTTGGTAGAACCCTCTTATTCTTCCGCAAGTCGTTGGGCTTCTTGTTAGAGTCTCTCACATAGTCCATAATCCTACAATACTTGTCTCCCTCCTCCATAGGCGCGACGCGTAGTCGTGTGCCTTCACCACCATTGCCCGATCGGATCAAGATCGTCAGTTCCTCTTTGAGCTCGTTTCCGAAGATCAAAAGGCCGTGGACTTTGATCGCAAGCTGCCATGGTTGAAGTCCTATCCTGTGGAGGTCTACCTTCTCTTCTTCCCATGCAGAGTCCCAGAGAACTTGGATTTTTGGCGGTTCACTGAACTCACGCAAGATTGTGAAATGGTGTGGGTAACGTCCTTCGTCTGCTTGTATGTAGAATCCCTTCCTGCGTTTGATGGCGAAGTACTCTTTGCCGTGGCCGGAGAAGAGGTTTTCGAAGTCTTTGAATGCGGATTTGAGTTTCTGGAAGGTGACTTGAACGCTTGGGTCCTTTTCGAAGCTGTAGTCCATGGCGGCTACGATATGAATATGGAGCGACCGTCGTAGCTGGACGTCTTGCAGTGTTATAACTTGGCTAACGCGGCAAGTTTGCGCATAGCACACTCATATCGTCCAGAATGACCTTTGCGCCTGTCGCGCTTGACCTCGCAGCAAGCGTTCGCTGCATGTCACAGATGCCAACTACTGTCATTTGAGATTTGGGGTCACGAGTGGCGGGGACGAAGCTGTGCCAATACCGTCCTCGAGGCGTGAGCTAGCATGGTAATTTCCTTCCTGGACTGCTCGCCAACCCTTTCAATCTTATCACGGGTCTGCATTCAATCACTATACTCCACTACCGTAATTGGTTTTACAAAACATCAATCTGTCGTGACTACAGTGCAGTTTTGTTTTCGGGAATCGCACGCGCAAATATCAAGGCCTAGCCTGACATCGTTCGCGCCGTCTTGGATGATGAAGACCTGGCCGTAACCAGTTTATGCCCCAAGGGCCTACTGCAATATTACGCGAATCTTGTCAGATGCCAATGTCGCCATCAACGCGCATCCTTCCTCCATGTAGCATCGCAAGTGTTCTCGTTGTCTACTGTACTCTACTCACTACCTCCATCGCCACCTTCCAAAGCAGCTTCCCCACCATCATCCTCCTCACCGCTCCCCTCACCTTCCTCGTCAATTTCCTCCCTGTCTTCTGCGTCTATGTCATCAAACTCTCCGTCACTCTGCGTGCTCATCCATATACGTCCTTCCCCGATAATCTCCTCCAGCTTATCCATAAACCTCGGAAACATGACGACATTGTGTTTCGCATAGTCCTCGTTGTGCATACCCTGCGCCCTACCATTGTACTTTCCTTTCCACGTGTCGTGCTTGCACGGAGCATGCCAACGATCAAAGGGTAGATGCAGGTGAAACTCCTTCCACTTGATTGTTGTTCTGCTGCTCTTCGTGCTCTTACCTTTGAATATTTTCCCTTCTATGGGGCCGCCTCTGATCTGTGTAGTATGGCCGCAGTTGTTGAGACGCAGGGTATATCCGTGTTTGAAGGCGTAGTATTCGATATGAAAGGGCTCATCGGTATCGTCTTGCTGCCGAAGATCGACGGATCTGTTCTTGCCTAGCTGCATCTTAGGTGCGCTCGGGTCTTGTAAGTCGAGGATCAGAGTGACCCAGCTTGCATGGTGCTCGTGAACATAAAGGAATAACGCTGGTATGTTGTTAGCTTTGTCTTGCCAGCTTGCTGATGCGGTATAGAGTACTTACAGTCATCCAAACCTGAAGCTGCAACACCGATGCTGCCGGACACTGAGTCGCCAGTGACTATCGGCTTAACGTTGTCGCCCATTCTGGCTGCCGGAATAGGCCTCTTGAAGTCCTCTTCAGTCACCCGCGCTGGATCGTGTGCCTTCGCGTACTCCTGAACAAACCCAAGACGCGCGCTTTTAGGCTCGGATCGCATGATGCTAGGTATACCCTTGACCGGGGCATGATAGACTGTAATCGGTTGACTCAGCTTCTCGTAATCGGTTACAACGCCCAGGGCAGAATGAGCCGCGTTGCGGGCTACCTCCACTGTCATTTCGGCGAATGGCTGGGTGTGGTCCCATGAAGAGTCCCACACTAAGAAGTCCTCGGTACCGGCATGTCTGATCACTGTGGTGCGGCCGTGGACGTTTGCAGGGTTCATCGTGATGTAGAGCCCGGCGATGTTGTCATGTAGCCAGTACTCATCTTTGGCGCCTTCTTCTGGGCCCTTTGTTTTGGCATCTTGAGTGGTATCCGATTCGGTGGTCTGACGTTCGGCGGTAATATGCTCGGCGGTCCGATGCTCGGCGTTCTCGTGCTCCATAGTGTTTTGTTCAGGGTTCTCCATACTGATAGGGTAAATCCTGGTTGAGGCGAACTGACCAGCATGAACTAGGCGACAAGGCGAGCCTCTTATGTCGTAAGTAGGCGCACAGCTTGCTCAAACCTGCTTCTCAGCTTGGACATGATTGCAATAATCTTACCTGCGCAAACAACTACAAAGGCCGCATGTTCAAGCATACTCCCCCTTGTCCAGCCTATTCGACGTCTCCATAACTGTCTTACTCTTCCGCATCTTCATCCACAACCTCACCATTTTCCAACTTCCTACACCTCTCCACATTCCCTACTCCCACAATCCTCTCCAACGCATCCATAAACCGTGCAAAATCACCAGCATTATGTTCCGCATGCCGTGCATCATGCGGGCCATACGCCGTCCTGTCCCTACCGCCCAAAACCCCATGCTGGAAACCCGCATGCCACTTATCCGGCGGAAGATGAACATGGCACTCCTTGTATCCGACAAACTTTCTCTCGATCATGGTGTCCCAGCCACAGTCGACAAAGCGGAGAGTGCGACCTTCTTGGAAGGGGTAGCATTGGATGGTGATGGGTGTTTGGCCGCCCACGCCTCTGAGATTGATGACTTTAAGGTTTGTTCTGGCTTTTATCGGGTTGATGACTAGCGTCCTGGTCTGTTCGTTGAGGGTGAGGGTTGCGTAGCTCGTACGGTGCTCGTGAGCGTGGAGGTAGAGCGCTGGGGATGGTTAGTACCTGGGCGTGAGGCCATGCATGTATCTCGGTATACTCACAGTTGTTTGTACCTACAGACGCAGCCATAGCGGGCACGGAAGCGATCGCTGCGTTGCCATCGTCTTCCTCTCCACTTCCTTCGTCAACTGGGTGTGCTTCATCCTCACCGTCACCTCCCTCGTACTCTGAAGCAGACTGCACCGTTACACCGAGCTTCTTCTGGCGTACGTCCGCCCCTCCGCCTGATTTAGGGTCATATGGCGGAATCGGCTTCGCAAGATCCTCCGGCGAGACGTCCGCCGCATCGAGCGTCCTCATATATCGCGGGATGCGTTGCTCGACACTGTTTGAGGGGTGTATGTAAATAGTAGTCTGCTGGCCCTCGAGTGGGCTATAATGCACGGTAACCGTCTCCTCCAGCTTTGTAGGTACAGCAAAGATATGGTGGGGACCGCCGGTGGTGAAAACGGCCTGGTCTTCCAGCATGGGAAGAGTTTCTGGCGCCCGTTTCCATGTAGAGTCCCATACCGGGTACATGTTGTTGTCATTCTTGTCATGCCTGACTACGGAAGTTTGACCACTGTCGTTACTGGAATCAAGGGCGATGTACAGTCCTGGAACCTTTTGTACAAAGTAGTTCTCGAAGTTGACTTCTTTGCGTTGGTTGCTTGTTTTATTAGTCTTCTCCATGTTCAGATGAAGGAAATGGGAAGTAGTCGTATCGTGAACGTCAAAAAGGCTGCGCGGAGAAGGTCTCTATATATTGTGAGCACAGTGAGAAGCTTGCTCGAATCCCTCGTGACGTTTGAGCATGATCACACCTCATGATCCTAGATCGTCAGTAGCAATTGACGAATCTTTAATGGAACGCGGAAATATTCTTCTCGCTGCAAATGTCGATTATTGTCGTATTAAGTACGGTCGTTGAGTAGTTACATACTGTTCCATCCCTTCATTTCAGTAGCTTGTAGCCATCATATCTGTCCTGGCATTTCGCGAACAGCGTTGGGCCTCGAAAGCACTGGAAGTGTGGACTGAGGTCGAAGATGTGTGGAAATGGCCCAACCCTCTCGTTCAAGGTACGACGGGTTCGCGCGTCATGCGCCAGTCATCGCAAGACGCGGCTGGCGTTCCGTCCAAAGATCGACCTTCGAAATCCTCATACGCCGGCTCGATCGTGGCGCCGCAGGGTCTCTGCGCAAAATGTCTTCCATTACTCTGCGTCGCATTGCGGCATGTCTCTGCCAACACATCCATGACCCCTCCAACCCATGGCGTATATGCCGACAACCTGCACAATATATACAATAGCGTGCCATCTCAAAAACGCCTTTGGGGTATCAAACGCCGTACAATGCCGTAAAATCGTGCAGGAAAGATGTTCATATCGTCGTCCATTACGTCGCGATAAACCCGCTCAAGGATTCGAATGAACGAAGCGTGCGCCCTGACAAGGCGAGCGAGCCTGCTTGAAAGCTTTTATCCGGCCTAGCATCCACCCAGACACCCATGAGCGCTCGCCTTCGCGGCTCTGGTGGTGGCCTAATCGGATGGAGTATCCGAGCCGGCATTCGATGCCGTCGTGTTCGAACTGGAGACAGCGGCCGTCTTTCGCGCAGGCCCGTTGGCATTTGTCGAAGGACTTGGAGGCTGTCTTGCCTTTTCGGTATGTGACGTCTTCGGACATGTTGGACCAGTCTTCGGCTCTCTCCTGCAAGTGTGGCTCGATCATTGTGAAGAGCTCTTCGAACATGAGCGGTCGTTCGGGATGCGATCGCGCTTGCTCCCATTGGGAGAGTCGTGTGAAGTCGTCTTCGCCGAGGTGGTGCATCGTCATGATGGCTTCGCACCACTGCTCGTTGTCGAAGCGCATGCTGAAGGGCTTCTCGCCGTTGAACATGGGCCAGTATCCGCGGAGGGAGACTCCGCTCTTCTTCAGCACCTGCGCTAGCATCTCGTCTCCGCAGCATTGCTTCTTGACGTCGACGCCGAAGAAGTGTGTCCCGGGGAAGTGCTTGTTCTCGCCAAACATCCTGCCCAGCGCCATGATCTTGTCCAGCGCCGCGCGCGATAGCACGAAGCCAGTCCCACCATGTGCGAAGGTGGTCTTCTTCTTGGGCCAAACGGGGGATCCGAAATAGTGGGCCGTCTTGGGGTTGAAGTTGGAGAGGAAGCGGTAGAGGTTGTCGTAGTTGACATAGGTGTCGAGTTCCAGGAAGACATACCACTCCGACTCGGGCCGCATGTATGACGTCCACTCCATCATGGGCAGGAACTTGTACTTGTCCAGCCGCCACCCCTCCTCCGTCTTGTCCTGGGTGCTGTTCGTCGCCTGGATGCGGTCGTATACGTCAAAGTCGGGGTTGTTGAACTTGTACTCCGGGCGCAGGTGGGCGAGGGCGTCGGCAATCTCGAAGCCGTTGAGCGAGTCCTTGCGGTCCGAGAAGATGAGCAGGTCCTGCTTGCACCTTCCCAATCGGTTGAGATACAGCGGCAGCTGGGTCGCAACTTCCCCGGCGCCAATCTTCAGCACAATGGTGACGCGCTCCATGACGCCGGCGGTGAAGGGCGAGCACTCCTCACCAAAGTGCACCGGAGCGACGGGCGCGGGCCCAGCGGGAGGGGGCCGCTCCTGCAGTATGTCGTAGCCGCGCTCGCCCCGCCATAGCCGGAAGACGAGCGACGTGAAGAGGAAGGTCACGAGGGTTATGGCGACGCACAAGAGGCGCAACGGCGTCAATCGCACCCTCATGGTGGTGGTGGTGCGAGACTGAGTCCGTCATGTTTGCATGAGCGGGCCTGGCGCGCGCAAATTGGCGCTAGTCCCAGCTCCAATCCGGCTAGCCGGCCGTTCTATGCGCGCCTCCGCGGGCGGCCTCGAACGTCTCTTTCCGACATCACCACATCACACTGACAACCTTGGAAGTATCATGGTAACACCAACTCTGATTTCAGCCCATAAACAAATCTTCTATCATAGCCATCATTCACCACGCCTTCTAAATAGCCATCCTGACCTGCCAATCTTCACCCCCGCCAGACACCCGGAACTCAAGCGAGCTAATCTTCTCTCCATCAATTCCACCCCGGAGACGCAGACGCGTCAAGATCCCTCCAAAGTAGTCCACCCGGTTCCGATTGCAGGACGATATGTAGCGCGCAGCCTTTGGCTTCATGACCAATGTCAACACCCAATCCAGCGCGTGCCTACGCACACCAGACGGAGCATGACACGACACTGGCTGTGCGCGTAGGGTAAGAGCATCCATATCTTTAAGCCACAAGCCGAATCCCAAGAGTGACGGAACATAATCAATCGCCTCAAAAAGACTGATCGGCCTGTTCTCAAAAAAGACCTCGGCCTCGGGGTGACCACGCAGGTACTCGCCTAGCCATTTGAGGTCGATACCGGTATTTGGTCCCCAGCCGTGATCGCGACTGAGTCCGACGAGTAGCTTACAGGCGGGAAGTGGAGCAAATGCCGACGCATCACTATAGAATGTCCGGAGGAAGCGTTCTACTAGCACAAAGTGGATACGAGTCCTGACCAAGCCAAAGTACAAAGGCATGTACTCCGACCGAGTGGTTCGGCATGCATTGCCCAAACCGACCGCTGTCGACAATCCGACGCCTGAGAGGCAGTAACCATATATCCGGTTACGTAGTTCTGGAACAAGGATTAGCAAAGTGCTGGCAAGCTCAGCGTCATAACCTACCACCGGGAAGATCTAGGAAGCCTTTGGGTTTCGAGATGCTTGAGGTCTTCGTGTGTGAGGAGTTCGCGTTCATTGATCCAAGAGCGGTGCTCGAAGGCCTGTTGCCCGACATCTCCATGCCGTCAGGTACGATGCTAGTGTTATTCAAGAATTTGCAAGCGTGCGTGGTAGATTTGGAATGAAGAGTTAACAGATATGCGGTTGCAGGTACGGAAGCACGTTTCCAGGCTGTCGCCCTCGGAGGATGTCATTATATCTGCCATGTGCACAACGTACAGCTTTCAACAACGCCTTTCACCCGGCCTTTCGTCAATGGAGTGTCGAGTGAATGGGAAGTGTCGACTTCACACTTCCAGTACCGCTTCACAGCCTGGATTACACTGTACAAGAACTTCTTCGAAAGTCTGTGTACTTGCGACCCTCTTTTACTTTCACTGATCCAATGGCATTACAGGCCTAATTGTCGGCGGGTACGGCGAGTTTGTGTCTACCTCGTCACTCCAAAGTTGGCAGGGGGCGCAGTCCTCTGCGAATCGCCACGCTGCCTACAAATTGCGGCGCTGATTCTACTTTTACCTACACATACAACTTCTCAACTGGTCACGTACAACCGCTAGACTTACCGAAAGCCTTGAACACAATGGCACCCTCATTCACAGAGTAAGTATATCACATTGCAACTTTCTTGACATCTTGCTAACACATTCCAGGATGTTATCTTCCGCGCAGTTCACGTTCCTACTAGGAGACACCCGCGAGCCCGTCACCGTCCATGCCGGCATCATGTCAAAGGTATCTGAGCCCCTAGACCGCCTTATCAACGGATCCATGAAGGAAGCGCAGGAGAAGTGCGCCGCACTGCCCCATGTCGATCGCGAGATCTTCCTGGGTCTCGTCGAATATGCATACCGCAGTGACTACAACGTCCTTCCCTGCGAAATTGACCCCCATGTCGAAGTCGACTCAAATATCGAAGTCGACATGGAGGCTAGATCGTGCGAGAGTTGGGTTCCTACAATAAGCGAAGAAGACTATGCCAAAGCAACCACCCCTGAAAAGATGTGGCATATGCCACATTTTTACCCAACGCCCTACGAGCGCTTTGTCGCCAAGGAGCAATGTCCATGCTATTATGGAGAAGATTGGGACGAAGTCGCCTCGCACATGAAAGAGCAACATGTGGGCGGTATAAACTATAAGCACAAAGACGTCTTCCTCTTCCACGCCAAGATGTACTGCCTCGCTGACTACTACTTCATCCCCGCACTGAAGGAACTCGCCATATCCAAACTCCACGTCGCACTACGACTATGCATGGAAGAAAAGTTCGTAACAACCCCCGAGCGGGTCGAAGATATCGTCGCACTGGCTTCCTTTGTCTACAACAGCGACAACACTCAAGACCACGATACCCCTTCGCAGCGTGATGCCCTACGAGAGGAGATATTGGGTTACATCATGGCTCAGATCCAACACCTGGAGCTGCAACCTGCGTTCCAGAAGGCGCTAGGTGGCGAGGGCCAACTGGCGATTGATGTGATTTCTTCTGTGAGGAAGGGGTTGAGCGAAGGGGCGGAGAGGATTAAGGCTGCTATTGCATATCGAGATAGGATGGAGGAAATACGTCTTGGACGAGGAGGCTACTACGCCCTACAAGCGAAGTTCGGTAGACAGTAAGGTTATGGGAGTAGATCAAATGACCATTTCTTCTTCATTAGTCCTGTAGCTGCTTAGCTATCTCCAAGGTTTGCACAGTGACTTATGTTAGTCATACGGCATCCTTCCTGCGGCTTCGTCTGTCGTCCCATCACGCGGAGGTCGGCTCACATCGCTCCATCAGCATCCGCTCCCTTCGTCGCAACCTCCACGTCCCCCTTCTCCTCCCCCTCCCCCTTTACCTCCCCTTTCCCCTTCGGCCACCTAATCATATTCCACTCCCCACACCCCACAAACCCCAAATGCAAATACACCGCCCTCGCACTCGGCCTACTCTCCAAATACACAACCCCCCCCCTCTCATCCGCCTGCCCCAACGCCCACTCCATCAACCTCTTCCCCACACCCCTTCCCTGCCACTCCGGCCACGTAAGTAGCGGCGCAAGATACCAATGCCGCTCCCCGCCCGTCGCCTCCCGCCTTACCTCATCGTCTTTGGCGAAGCGCTCGCTCCAGTTCTCGGAGGAGACGTGCGACCACATGAGATCGAGATCGGCGTCGGTCCAGGATTGCTGTTCTGCCCAGGAGTAATGCGTCGCGGCGCTGCGTCGGAAGAGGTTGTGTACGGAGGGGTTGGAGGGAAGGGTCCAGCCTGCTATTCCTACGGTTTCGCCGGTGGGGGTATAGACGGCTTTCATGAAGCAATGATGGGGATCAGTGATGGCGGGGGTTAGTCGTTGGGCCATGCGCTGAGTCCGGATTTTGAGACTGTCGTCGCCTTTGGGGCGTAGCTCGGGCGGTTCTTTCTTTGCCCACCAGTCTTCTGGGAAGCAGAGGTAGAGGCCTTCGGCCTGGGTGGGGTTGTTAGTATGATGGGTTTTATGGGTAGAAAAGATTGGGTACGTTCGGAAGCTTAGGTGAAGGTTGATGGATGAACTCACGATCTTCACAGCATCATCAGGCGTGCATTTCTCGATCCGCAACTCCGACTCCGACAGCCGTCTTGAGGGCTCTGTGGGCATTGTCTGGAAGCCATCTGAGTTATCGGTCGGCACTTTAATGAACTCTGCTTTTTGTGATGCCATGCTTGTGAGTGTTGATGTCGAAGTTCCTAACGTCGAGGCATGCGCAAGATGAGGGGTGTAACAACAGTGTTATTGAGCTACCTAGGCAGGCGCCCTTCAACACACTTATGTAGACACTAGAACAGTAGACCTACGTGATAGTAGTAGCATTACGCCCTTTCCTAGCGCTTACTTGCGCGAAAATATCTAATAGAATACAGAATTAGGCGCTAAGAGGTAAAGTTGCAAATATAAACCTGCGCGGCTAAAATCTAGAAGCTAACTTAACCTTAGGTTAGTGTCTCTATATAAGTACTAGAGTTAAAAAGCTTATTAAAAATAGAGTTTATAAACGCATACTTTTTTTTATAATGTATAGTACTAAGGTAAGTTTAAAAGTACTATATATAAAAGTAGAGTTATAGTAATAGTACGTAGAGAAGAGTAAGTATTAATAGGCTTTTCTTTTTATACGTTTAGAAAGAGCAGGCGCTCTTTAGCTTCTTTTTATTAAGTGTAGATATCTGCGCAACGTGTATTATTATATATAGAATTTCTTAGAGCTGTAAATAAAATAAAAGTTAGTAGACCTACTAGGAATTACACTATAGACCTTAGGAATACTAAGTATTAAGCCTTAAATAATACTTAATATATTAGTTTTTATTCTCTTTATACGTTAACTATATAACTTCTATTATACTATAGCTATTATACTCTTTAAGTATACTAATAGCTATAGTTTTAACTTAACTATAAAAACAACGCCTTAAAAGTAAACGTTAAAAGGCTATTATAACTTTAGAAGATATAAGAAAAGGTTTATAGGCTTACGCTATACTAGGTATATAACTACTTTAGTCTTTATAGTATAGTTACTACGCGTATACTTTTATCTAGCGTAGTATAGACTATAGATATTAATACTATTCTCTTAGTATTTCTAAGAGCTACTATAAGAAGGTGTAGAGAACCTTATATATATAGAAGAGAGTAAACTCTACTATAAAGCTTTTAAGGTGTTAAAGCGTAATACTACTAATATTTAGAGTAGTAGAGATTAGAACTACTAAAGAATAGGTGTAGAGTGTCTAAAATTACAATAGCTATTTAGCGTAGGCTAAGAAGAGTATATATACTAGATAGCGACTATAGTGCAAAATCTACTAAGATATTATAGTAATAGAGTAGAAAATAAGGAGGTTATAAAGGCTATATATTTCTATATATTCTATCTAGAATAATTAGAAGAAACTAGATCTTAAGAAGAAATAGGCTGTATATAAGGCTACTATAGATTAGCTATAGTAGCACTTTAAATCTTTATATATTTAGTTAGAGAATATTAGATTTTGTATAGATAAAGTTATAGATGTCTAAGCGTAGATACTAGAAGAACTAAGAGCTTAGAATAGAGAGCTAGATAGATATTAGAAAGAAGAAAAAGAAGAGCTAAGCGTGCTAGAGAGATAAAATAGAAGAGAAGTAGTAGTAGAAGAAAGAGAATAAGAGAATAGAGCTTTACTTATATAACCTTGTTCTTTATATTATATTTAGCTTAGTAGATATAAAGAGTTGCTTAGAAGAAATAAGATTTTAATTAAAAGGTCTAGAAATATACGTTCTTGCTCTTGCTTCTAGAGTTTAGCTTAGTCTATCTAGCGTTATACTTAGTGCGTAGAGTAGCTACCTAAATATAGCTCTTAGACTCTTCTAGTGTACGCCTCTACTACTATAGCTTATTACGCTTCTTTTAGCTCTTTAGAGGCGCGATCTTAGTAGAGATAAGAGTTTAGAGCTTAATATTCTTATTACTACGTTTGTAGTCTAATTAATATTTGCTATATAGAATATAGAATAAAACTTATTCTCTATATATATATCTTAACTATTATTCTTCTTTCTAAAGTTACTAGTATAAGACTAAGATTATCTAAGAGATATTAAGCGCGTTCTAATAGCTATTTGTAATAATATCTTTAGTCTTAATAAGGTATTTGCTCTAAACAGCTATTTTTTATATAGACTTTTTCTTTCTACAACTTAAGAGATACGTAAAATAGTAGTAGAGTAAGAAGTATTATAATTATTATACTTGTAGGCGTAGAGCCTTTTACTAGATATAAAGCTAAGTCTAGAAGGTAAAGTAGTTAGTATAGAGTAAGAAAGAGGCTAGAGAAGAGATAGTAAAGCTTATAAAGTACAAGGTTTTAAAACAAAAGATAGTAAGTAGGTAGTAGAATATAGTATGTAAACTAAAAATTAGAAGCTAACTCTACGCTGTCTAAGGCAGCTACTAAGAAGGTAAGAGAGAAAGCTTATAGATTTAGAGGTTATAGCTAAGAGTAGAGATATTATAATAGACTCTAACGTAGAGAAGAAGAATATAATTAGAATTAATAAGCTTTAAAATAAAAGACTAGAGAAAAGGCTAGAGAGAACTTATAGATTTTAGCTAGCCTGCTAGTTGCTATAAAGCAGCGGTGCTTTAGAACTAGGTAGAATTTCTATAGTAAGTAGAGGAGTAGATAACTAGTTAGTATATAGTACTATAGAATAGAATCTTGTAATAAACAAGGCTATAATAGTAGAATCTAGATATTATAAGAGTAGTTAAAGCAGTAGATTAAATAAACTTTAAACATCTAGTATAGACTATATTTATATACTACGTAACTACTTTTGCGTTTACTTACACTTCTTTTATACTTACTATATATAACTAGAATTTAGTTTTAGTATTGTATATTAGCTATAGACGTGTTATTATAATAATATAGACTTATAAAGATAGGTAGTAGTGCGCTCTTCTTTATTGTTAAAAGTAATAAGTCTTATTTCTTATTATCTATAGTAATTAAATAGCTATACCTATTAATAATAAGAAGGTACTCTAGAAATACTATATAATATAATCTACTATATTAAAATTAAAGCGCCTAAACATTATCTTCTAGAATTAAAGAAGTAGTAGTTTGTGTTTTCTAAAGGTTTTAGAACTAATATACTCTACCTAGCTACTTACCTTTTTAAGCTCTACCTGTTTATTCTCTACGTTCTATAAGAATTAACATTAGAAAGACTAGAAAAAATAAGTGTTAGTTAGTGTATACTGTAAAAAACCTCTTCTTTATATACTATATCTCTAATATAGATACCTTATAGAGGCAGCTATATAGAAGAAGCTCTCTATCTTTAGTACTATTAGAGCTATTATTACCTATAGCAAGGCGCTATAGTACTAAGAGTTAGCAGCTAGAATATTAGAGATAATAAGATATAGCTTATAGACTATAACATCTTACAGCTATAATAGTAAGAGTAGGTATTACTATTACTCTAAAAGTAAGACTTAGTTAATATAAGTAGGCGTTGCAGAAGCTACAGGTTCTTAGAATTACTAAAGCTTTTCTTCTATTATCTTAGAGTTCTTAGGTCTTTTTCTCTAATATAATTACTAGTAGGCACGTTTTATAGCAGCCTCTAGAGCTAGTAAAGCTACTTTTAGGTAGCTAACTATTCTACTTTTTATACTTTTTAATTTCTAGGGCTTTTACTATAGTTACGTAAGTTTACTAGGTTAATAAGGTAGAAGCCTGTTATATACTAATTAGTGCTACCTAGTCTTTATCTAGTGTAGCACTATTGCCTCTATCTCTATTAATAGCCTTATTAAGTGTAGGTAGTAAGAGCAAGCGTAATAAAGAGTAATAGAGGCTTTAAGATTGTTACTACTAGACTCTATTATTTCTACGTAGCCTATATAGTGCAGAATTAATAAAAACCTTATATAGTAGCTTAGAGTTTATAGAAGCTAGCTTATTATCTAGAATATTATAGATATTCTAGGTTCTGTTAGTAGTAACCTTAGAAATAGTAGGCTTATTCTATTACTTCTAGAACTTTCTACTAACTTCTCGCGCGCGCAGTTTAGGCAGCTTTCTATTCTTCTTTAATTAGAGAGCTATTGCTAGTAACAAAACACGTTAAAAAGAAAAGTAAAAGGCTGTGTAAAGAAGAGTAGAGATTATAATAGATATAGAGTATTATATCTGTGTTTACAACGCGTTAGTTATAATATAGAGCGCGTAGAGAATTTTAGAGTTATAAGATAGAAAGACGTAGTAGAACTATATAGTTTATAGTAATAGGCCTAGAGAGCGCTAATTTGTGTATAACGTAATGTTACTAGACCTAAAGAGAAATTTATTAGTATTTATAAGAATTTTATTATAGAACCTATAATCTAATAACTACGCTAGAGCTTATACCTATAGCTTCTTCTATATACGTAACACAAGCTATTCTTATTAGAGAATAGATAGAGGTAGTCTACCTAGCTATACGCCTGCTTATTAAAAACGCTAATTATATACTAAATAATTATTTCTATATTAAATTTCTTGCTCTAACCTTTCTATTAAATAAGCGTAATAATATTCTATATCTTATTTATTATATACTACTATGCAGCCTCTTATTAAAAGAAGTAGCTACTATATAGCTAAACCTCTTTACTAATGTTGTGCAGGTTATAGTAGAAGTTTTAGAGAAAGGTTATATAGCTCTATAAAGTATTAGCGTATAAAAGCTTAGTATTTCTAGTAAATAGTACTAGCTTCTTCTATTATCTATCTATAAGCTTTAGTTAGTTAGATATAGTAAACAGTATAAATAGGTATTCTCTCTTAATTCTAGAGGTAGTAAGCTACTCTGCTAATAAGGTAGGCATATTAATCTACAGCCTCTTCTAGTTAAAATATAAAATAAAGAGCTTAACACTTATACACCTCTATAAGTATTATATAGAAACCTTAGTATTTATAGAAACTTATCTCTAGCTTATATAGTTTTGCAGAAGCTTAGCGTAAGTTTAACCTAACCTAATTTGTAATTCTACTAGTAGATATATTATACTTAAATGTACAGCACTTTATCTAGGCGTAATAGATAATAAAACGTAACTATATACGCAAGCGTTATTATAAGTTACTAGTAGTATCTACTCTAAAGTCTTTCTC